GCAGAAATTGGGTGTCTCTGGGGGCCCCGATCTACGCGGAAGTGAAGTTTGGTGTTGCCGTAACACCCATTAAATGTTAGTTAATTCTGCATTTCTTGTTAGAAGCTGTCGTTTATCTTGTACTCGTTACCGCTCGTAGCTTTTTCTGTGTCTGTTTTCAGTAATTTCACAAAGTTTTATCTTTCGTGGTGTTTCTTCTTCTTCAAATTTTGGTTTTATTTTTGCCCCTTCTTTTAAAATCAAAAGGAGCCCATTTACAATCCTACATGGCAGCCCACCTTGCCGTCCGCTGCTTTATGCAGGATTGTGAATTGTGAATGTTATCGCAGCCTGAACGGTGTCAACACCGAGCAGGATTCACCTTTTAGGGGCACGATATCAAATCCGATACTTTACTCATAATATCGTCTTTTCGATTCGATACTTGTACTCAAAATTCATTACTTTTTACTAATATCAGTACTTTGCATCAAGTATCGAATCGATTTCAAAGTTCATAAAAATTTAGTACATGGCAAAAATATATAGAAAAGGTTGAACTTTTTCTGTTTTTGGCAAATCCAGAAGCCCCTGTTATCGTCCCCTTTCAACGCTATGACTCAATTGGAAGATACACAAACTGTTTTTCCATTTTTCACTCAACTGCAATATGAAGTTATAATAAGTAGAGCAATGAACAGATTTGAAGACAAAACAATTAATAAACTCTTGTTCCTCAGTGACTGCACTGAATTCAAGTGTTCTTGATACGTCGATAGTCATGGGTTCGATTCCCACACTGGATAACTATTTGTGCGACCCACAGATAGTTGTTTTGGCTGTGGGTGTTTGTCCATGTGAAATTTATATTTGAAACGTCCTTACAACACAGAACAAAGTTATCCTAAAGTGAGGGCAATGTTTTAAAAAAAGATAAATACCATTCAATGCCAATCCAACATTAAAAAATTGAGTTATAATTTTTTTTTTTTTATGGGAAAAAAGCAGCAAACGAGCTGGAGGCTCACCTGATGGTAAGTGATCACCGCCGCCCATGGACACCTGCAACACCCGAGGGCTTACAAATGCGTTGCCGGCCTTTTAGGAATGAGTATGCTCTCTTCTTGAAGGTTCCCAGGTCGTAACGGTTCGGAAAAACCCGCCGGCGGCAGCTGGTTCCACAGAATGGTTGTGCGAGGCAGGAAATGCCTTGAAAATCGCGCTGTTGTGGATGAAATTTTTGGTTTTGGCGCAATGTCCGATGGTGAAATTCAGCCGCTGGGATCAATCCAAACAATTCCTCGGAACATTCCCCGTGATAGATGCGGTAGAAGATGCAGAGTGACCCAACATCTCTACGCATAGCCAAAGGATCAAGCTGATCGGAAATACCTTGATCGTCGATAACCCTAGCTGCCCTACGTTGGATGCGGTCAAATGGAAGAAGCTGGTAACAGGGGGCTCCCACCCAGAGGTGAGAGCAGTACTCCATGTGGGGCCGAATTTGCGCCTTATAATGTTCTCGATCAATACAAAGTCTTTAACTAAATATCATATTGCCTTGCCACTTGTTGTCGTTGTCAATAATTACCAAAGATTATAAATAATCATCATTAATAAACTTTATAAAAGATTATGCTTTTTTTTTCGATACTCCGCTTGTTCATCCATTCACTTTTGAATATTGTACCCGTGTATAATTTGTAGAGTTCAGAGGAGTTCAGAGTTCACAGATCTCTAATAATAGTAAAACCAATTTATTTTTCACAAGGTACGACCATGCCATTTAAAATTCAAACTGATAAGATAACAATCGCTGCGAGTTTTTAAAATAATATAATTTATTTTAATCCAATAATGGAAAATAGCAGTGATGTGATAGTTATGAAAAACCGCCGAATCGCAGAATCTACGCCAAAGAAGAAACGCATGAGGCGATATGATATGGGAGAAAAAAAGAAATATCGTCCCCATTAGTTCTACATAATTATTATAATTGAATAAACTAGTGTTGTTTTAATGACTATGTTAAACTAAAAATAATAGTGTACTTACTATATTTTTTTACAAATATCCTTTTAAATTTTTTGTACTATCTTTTTAACGTACCTAAATCCAGTCCTGGTCACTGGTCAGAGCTGGTCTACACTTATCACTCAAAATATTATATTGTTTAGGCATGTGGGTTCAGTTCAGTTTCATGGTTTCATCAATTTGTTGTTTTGTCTATGGATTGCTGTGGTTTGTGAGTCTGTCTCTGTGTAGTGTGTCAAAAATTTAAACAAATATCATACAAGCAAGTTATTAATATTATTAAGATTGGGTCATATTCTGTAATTATGAACCTCGATTCAATAATTTAACTTTAATTCACACACACACACACATACGGTGTAATATATCGATTTCGCAAAAATGGAGCTATACGTGATATTGCTTATTATTACAGTAACATGCCTTTTAAGGATATTATTGCTTATTTTCAAGATAGTTACTACCGAATGCACAATGCTGGCAAAAGAAGCATCATTAAGAACAATCGTGTGTATCGGATCAGGAGGTCATACCACAGAAATATTGAGGTTAATGTCGAATTTAAACACCAAGAAATTTCAGCCTCGTCTATATATCATGGCTGATAGCGATTTATACAGTGAAGTGAAAATACGTTATATTGAAAGCCAAGCATGCGATGATTTTATATTAAGCCGAATACCTCGAAGTAGACAAGTAAAACAAACTTACTTCTCCTCTGCATTAAGCACATTGCATTCAATTCGGTGCACTATTCCAATTGTTTATAGATTCAAGCCTGATGTAATTTTATGCAATGGTCCAGGCACTTGTGTACCAGTATGCGCTGTTGCTTTTTTATTAAGATGCTTATTTATTTTGGATTGTCGAATAATCTTCATAGAAAGTTTATGTAGAGTAAGGACATTGTCATTATCAGGAAAAATTCTTCAGTATTTTGCTGACATTTTCATAGTACAATGGCCACATTTAAGAGATGTTTGCTATAGAGCAAAATATTTTGGTAGATTAACATAGAAATTTTAGCTCTGTAATTTTGTTAAATGTTTGATAAATTTTGTCATGTCTTAAAAGAAGTCTATATAGTAATGAATGTCTATGACTGGTGCATAATTGAATCTTTATCTTAAATGAAAGAAGCTTACAGATTTCATCTCATTTTAATTTTGAATTTAAGTTTTAATTATTCATAGTCAAGGGACAGACCCTTAACACGTCGGGAATTACAATATCAAAATTAAAACATGATAAAATCCATATACAAGTTTCATTTAATATTTATAACATTTATGTAAAATCAAAAAGTCAATATATGAATCTTTAAATAAATAATAAAACTTCGCAGTCAAGAAAAAAAAAATGTAATTAACAGGTTTACTGGATATGCAAGGATTCAAACTCATGAAATGTCCAACCAATTTCAAATAATTTGACTAGATAAATGTAATGCAGTAATTCAAACAATATGTGTTTAAATATTATTTGTTGAAGAGAAAATGTAAGAATGATTTAGAGTAAAAACATTGCTTGTATCACTGTATTTCATCTTTTCTTTTCATTTGAGTCAATCTGTCATTAACAATAATTATAAATGATAGCCTCACAAACACGAAAACATCAAATAGCCTTCACCTATCCATAAAGGTAATAACTAAAAATAGAACTGATTTAAGAAAAATGCATGGTAAAAATGGTTACAAAAAAACTATTGTATTTATAAATATGAGGACATAATCTTCCAAATTCTGAAGTAACAAGTGTTTATCAGATCAATAATAAATTACTCTATGTACTATACATTATTCTTGTTTTATAAACCACCATTTTTAAATGTAAATGCTTCAGTCTTCACAACATGTGCAAAATCAGACCACTTATCAATTCGAGATTATGTTCAGGACTGACCTATTAGAAAAACCATTTTTTTAGAGTAAATTATAAGAATGTCTTAAAATAACATTAAAATTTTGTGTATTAGTAACAATAAAATCAAATGCACAAAGATTTTGTTTTTTTTTCTAAAATCATCTTTAAAATTCATGTTAATTATTCAGTTGTATTAAGCATTCTTGAAGTATATTATGTTTAGATTTGTATAATACAAAACTTTTTTTCCATTGATCACAGTTTACAATTATTAAACACAATGTAAAACAAGAACACAAGTTCCTATCTATTTATTATTAATTTGAATAATATTACTGAACTATTGATTCTGCTCATGTTTCACTGTGGGTTTTCTTTTACATTTCTGAACTTCGGAATATCAACTATGTAAAATCTATACAGTTCAATAGGCATGTTGTAAACAAGTCTCAAGTAAATTATGCTATTTTTGTGGACATTGATATATGGACGCAAAATTTTTGATGGTTAATAAATGTTAATAGTTTAATTTATTGCATTGGATATCTTTTTCTGTAATCTGAGGCAAAGTACATAAAGCTTTCTCTTGCTTCCATTAATAATTGTCTTTATTACATACTTAAAGCCATTAGGCTCTTTTTGTATGAATAGGTTTTTAACTGCACCACTTAAATATTTTAAAGAAAAACTATTGAACTAACTCTAAGATAGAGATTTGACATATTTTACAAAAATAATATCAATAAGCACACACTTTTACAAGTCTTATACAAATAGGTACAAACTGTAATTTTTCAAATAAGCAAAGTTATTAAAATTATAACTTTATTTTTATTGATTAACTTTCTGTTTAATAAACTGTTACAAAATAGCTTTATTTATGCCTCTAAAAATTTAAGATAATTCTTTCATTAAATTTACATTTCATCTTAAGATTATTGTAAGGCTTTCCTTAAGTCTAAATTAAGTTTTATAACAATATTGCCAACACTTCATTATTTTAGGCACATGTGAGAATACTATAAATTTACATAGCTAACTAATATAATTTATAAGTACAAAGGAAGAAATAAGTTTTACTTACTCAAGTAAAATAAAAAAATATTAAGTAAACCAAATTAAGGCTTAACAACAGAGTTTACACTAGAGCTAGTTTGATTACTAGTTTCTTGTTTTGCACTGTCATCAATTCTGATTTCCATTCTTAGTTTTTCATCATCAATAAGGTACATAGCTTCATCATATGTTGGAGGGGGTGGTTCCAAATCTGATGTTTGGGCTTTACTTGTTGCGGCAGTAGCAATTAAAGCATCATAAGATGGGGGTAATGTCGCACTTGATGCAGTTCTAGGAACTTGGCTACCAAAGGCTTGTTCTGCTTGAACTGCTGCCATATCCTACAAGCATAAAAGTTAAGATTTATTAATAACAGTTGAAACATTCTTATAATAATTCTCATAATTAACACTAATAATTCAAGTTACTTATTTAATCTAAACTAGTGGTCACTTAGTGGTCGAAATTTGTCCATAATTAAAAACATGGCAGTGTGTGTAATGTTCTTTTTTTTTAATTTAACGTATTTTTTATCCATTTATTTAAAAAAAAAACTAGCATTCTGCACTGCTCTATATAAACTATAAGTGTGGGAAATTTGATACTCTTACATCCGCGAAATTTTCGTAAAAAGGGGGTACAAAGTATTCTGTACATTACAGATTCACAACTTCACACATTAATATACAGATTACAGTAATCGATAAAATATATTCAGCTGTACACTTTGGATAAGATGGGTAAAAGATGGTTGTAGTAAAAAGGAACAAATTTTTTCGCTACTGCAGGAATCAAACTCGCGTGTTTTGAAATCACGTGGAGACGCTTTAACTGCTAAACTAAATGGCTAATTATAACGCCGACACGCAATGACTTTTATCAATTTTTATCATAAAATAAATTGTTTTACGTGTTTTTTGGAGTTTTAATTTGATCTTAAATTTCTGATGTTTCGAACCCTTACCAGCGTTCATAGTCACGGGTCATGGGACATTTCGAATTTATGTTCCTTTTGAGTACAGGAGCAAAAAAAATTAGCTGTAATGTAAAAAGTAGCTTGGATAAACTCTGAACATTAGTACATGAAATGACTTATTATGTCCTGACCATGAATGCTGAAAAGGGTTCAAAATGACGGGTATTTAAAATTGAGTTAAAACACAATAAAACCTATAGAATAGTTTGATTTAAAAATGGATAATATTTGCGTAAAAACTTGTGTGTGTGTGTGTGTGTGTGATTTCGCATCTTAAGTTGCAATACTTGGCACCATTGATTGTTATGTGCAACAATCATAATTTGAATGAGAAATGCAGATTTGCTTATTGAAATTGAAATTTTTGTAAAGTTTTTATATTGCTAATCTCAGTACTTAAGACAATACAAAATTTCAGTGCCTACAAATCAATATTGAAAAATGCAACAAACGAAAGCAAAATTTCACATCTTTTTTCATCAGGGTTATCTATAAGTTTCTTTACATATATGACTACTAAATCTAGGTATGTATATATTTCAGCATATGTATATTTGTGTATATAGAGTGTCGTTACCATTGCGACAATAAATGAACACACGTCTAACGCTACTTGCCAATAATCATAAAAAAAATATTAACGTTAAACAAAATCCATAAATAAAAAAAAATATTTTTCAAACAAACTAATTAAGTAAAAAAGAAACAAATTTTGTAACATCCTATACAACTCGAGCCACAGCGTCGCATTACAAGCCTCTCTTTCTAACAGTATGTTTTGTCTCTTTTAAATTCATTCAACCCATTCATATGCTTTGTGACCTTTACAAATGAACTTTACGTTACAGTTTTATACGTAAGGGTGTTCTAAAATTCTTTGTTTTGTAAAATTTAATAACTCGGTAAATATTGTTGTTAAAAGAATGTAAATGTTTAATACAATTTTAAAAAGTTATCCTCTATATGTGTGTTCATTTATTGTCGCGGTGGTAACGACACGCTGTATATAATTATAAATATAATATATTTATGGAGATGTATAAAACCATCCTATTTTTCACGACTAGTCATTTGGCTCTTTTGCATCACATTATTTTCATTTTTCACTATTTATTTGTCAGAAGACTGGTAGAGAACATGTTACAGAGGTGTTAAGTCCGCATTTGTATGCTATTGTGCAAAAATGAATTTTAACCTAAAGTAGACAATCTTTTAAAAAGAAGTATGTGTGTACTTATGTATGCACTTAAGAAATTATACTCCTTTAGCATAAAGACATTAAATCGGAAGCAACTAAAAATGAAAAAAAAAGTTTAAGTTACTTTTTATTGTCTAGTAGCCACTGAATATAGTTGCCATTCTTCATATCTAGCCACATGAATCAAGAACTTTTTGATAGAAGGTAACATACAATAAAGTACTTTCTATATGAATAATTGAAGTATGTACAAAAGTAATAAAATCCATGAAGAGTGCAATATAAAAAAGGAATATGTACATAGTTTATCTTGACTGTTTTCCACATTGAATAAAAGTAAATAATTAATGTTTTTCAATGAGCTTCTAAAGCTTTATATGAAAATTAGAACCAACTCAACTATAAACATAAAATAAATCTTATATTCTTCTTCCTAAAAATATTGTTAACAATAATAAAGCCGTTAGTTGTAAGTACAGATACTTGTTGCCTACTTTACCTATATTGGAAAAGCTATTTTAATATTCTAAGAGATGTTAAGAATCTAATGACCTAACTGTACTACTTTTTTCAGTAATCTCAACATGATTGAAAAATGAAAAATAAATTTAAATTTTTTAGTGAGATAAAATAAACAAAAAATAAAATATTTCACATATATCTTATCATCAATCTAAAATAAACATTTGGATAAAACTTCTTTTTAACTATAGACCTGTTATTTTAACAACAGAAATTCAAACATCCTTGTAATTCAAATGTGCGCACATTGATAAGACTAATGATTATTAGGTGAAGGCTATATAAACATGGATTACTCATAAGATACATTTCTTCTTGATAAGTCATATAGTCTTAGTTTTTTCGAATTATTTATTTTTATATAGTGTCTTATAACACACCCAGTTATTACATTTTAGATTCTAGTATAATACTAGTGAAACATATGAGTCATATGACTTACCCTAATAATTGCACGCTGGTGTAACAACATTTGTATGACACTCTTCCTACGAAGATATAACATACTCTTAACTGCGACCATCATCCCAGAACAAATAAATATAGGTCCAACTAGCCACATGTGTCCTAAGTTGCTTAATATATAGCCATCTGTGTCCCCCAAGGCTAGCACTGTTATAACAGTACCAACCGAAAAAAGTACCATCGAAAGCACGAAATAGGAATAGCTGGTACAATCACATCGACCAAATCTTTGATCTTCGTCCAAATCGAAATCACGATGCCGTAGACGGTGCAGACGTTGTCGAATGAAAGGGCTATCGAAAACGGTGGCCATTTTAAGACACAATAAAATAATTTAATATGCAGGAAACTGCAATCATCAATCACATTAAATACATATTTAATCTTTAGTCTTTAGATGTATACTCGCTTACTAAACACGAAATAAGTAACACATATGTGTAAGTAAATTTTCTTTTGATTATACTTTTTTATAACACAGATACACGAAACATCATTTTAGTAACAGGACTGCTCAAAAGTAAGCGAAATATGAAGGATACCAATACTTTTTGGGTAAATACTGTGTTAGTAAAAATAAGTGTGAAATGGCTATTAAATCAAGAGACTACTAACGTCGATCAGTTAGTTAAGAAAATTAAAACAAGAAAAAAATAAATTACAAGAATAATTAACTACCGGGATTTATACTTAGAAGTGCTTATTCTATTAACAGGTTTAAGAAATTTATTAAAGAAAAACTTTTTAAAAAGGTCATTATAATATAAATTTATACATTAACGATAACCCTTGGGAATGACATAATCGCTTCTAAGCTCTTTTTAAAAAAATACGTATAGCAAAACAATTATTTGTTACGGAGTTTCTTTCGCCTGTTTTTTCTCCGTTAGAGGAACCTCATTACGAAAGGGTGGTAGATTTAATATATTATTATCGATAGATGAAATGTATATTTCTTATTTCGATCAATAAATGATTTGATTTGATTTATAGCCAATATACCAATAAGTCATAATATAATATCTAATTAATAATACAAATATTTCTTATTTTATCTATTGCGGCAGAAAAACAAGACTGACGAAAATAATTTATTTTTGGAAGTAAAAATTTCGTAATTAACTACGCCATGATCAAACGAACGTATGCAGAATCGCTATTAAATAACAATAACAACATAACGGTAGCGATTCTAAAGTGTCCTGGCGCATTACAGACCTCGCAGTCGCCTGTCGCACGCACAATCGAGTGCGCTTTTTTTTTTTTTTTTTTTTTGGCGCTGGATGAGCCACTGTTGGCCTTAGGGGCCTTTACAGATCCGACGGACTTGAGGTGGCCTGGCGCACGAGGCGCCTAGCCTGAACCTCGGCGTACTATTATTACGCGTTATGGTGACTAAGCTCGAGGGCTCCCGGGGGAGCCTCGGCTCGAGCCGTCACGCTATTATTGTTACCGGTTTGGGAGGCCGCCAAGCTCTTAGGGCGCTTTGGCGGGCGCTCCATGGAGCGCGAGTGCGCTGATAGCGCCTGTTTGTATATGTATTACATGCGGTACTAAGCACGGAATAGCGAAAACAAGTGTACTGTTTTCACTATTCCTTGGTACTAGGCTAGTTGAGGCATCGGCAGATGTTATATGTTGTATCAGCATACGTTCATGGGTCGACATAATCTCGGATATTACACAGTTCGAAGGATAGTGGACTATAGGGAATCGTGTCGTCGTCGTGTACCGGCTTTGTGCACGTTGTTTTTCCTGAGTCAGCACGTTGTTTACCCATGAACTTTTTTCACGGTAAAGCCGTCAGGCTAACACTTACAGTAGTTACTAAACTACACTTACCAAAAAAATCATCTGGGTGTCGAGGTATTGTTCACATTTTTCTGTAGTCTATATTCTTTTACTCGTTTATCTGTTCAGTATGTCACTTTAATGTCAAAGCATGTGATGACGCAAAACGGGTTGTATTGATATTACTTTAATTTGCGTTGCTTGTTTGATCCAAAGGGAGAATTAAATGATTTGGATGCGTTACCATATTCTTAACAATTTTTTTAATATCTGCAATTTTTGAGTCTATTAAGTTTTTATTCAAAATGTCTCGTTTGCTATTTATTTTTTGTTTCACGTATATTTGTAAAAGTGGTAAGTTCCTTCTCTGTCTCATTGTAACAGTGAATCCATTAATTTTTGCAATTGTTAAGTACATAGAATAATTTATGTTTCAGTTACTTGCTCACTTGACGTGACCCTGTTAAATAACGGCCCAGCAGTCAGGGGGTCAAAAATTACATTTACTGCAAATGTTATAGGATATGCTGGCGAAAGTCTCAAATATGTCTTTTGGGATGATGTGCAACCGCAACATGAGAGTGAGGTACTTAATCTTAAAAACTTAACAACTATTCTAGCAAAGGAAGATTAATATCTTATAAGGTAATCTAATGTTTGATTTAAAAATATTGCAGTTAAAGCATGGGGGAACTGGCTTTAAATAAATCGCTTTCAAAAAATCAAGAATAAAAACATTAAAGTTTTGACACATGCAAAAGTTTAATTTTTTTCTTTATAAACATATATTTTAACTAAAGGCATGGAAGCAATGGCATGGAAGCAACCTATTGTTTAAAGCCTTCGTATTTAGTGATTTATTAATATTTAAAACATTGGTGGGCATGACTCGGTAGTGTGGTTGCTAAGCCATTGACTGCGGCGCTGGGAGTCATGGGTTTGATTTCCACACTGGACAAGTAATCGTGTGACCTACAGATAATTGAGCTGAATCTGGGTGTTTGGTCCTAAGCATGTTTGACATCAAGGGACTTCAGACAGGAGAACAAATAAGAAATGGGCTTTGTTTTTACATGATATAGGAAAGACTGATGTGTGTAACAGTTAAATGAAAGTACACATACTTTGTTTATTTATGCATTTGGTTTGCACAATCTTTTTTGTCCATCTACTCATACGACATTAAAATATTCATTGCTTCACATGCATATGTGAAAACAGAACCTACAACCAGAGTAAAAAGACCTTGAGTTAAAAATCTATCAATTATCAATAAATTTATATTTTATATGTCTTTGTCTATAGTATGTACTATCTACCAATGAGTCAAAATGGACAGTGGAATATCCTAAAGAATTGTATGAAGCAGGAGAATACACTGCAAAAGTGAGACTGATGAAAAGTTTCTATGGGATATGGTATTATGTAGCATCATCAAGTACTATCTTCAAACTGACAGGTATATGGTATACATAACAAATTCATCTTTATATAGATTCTCATTTTTCCTGTGAGTGTTTCTAACAGCATTTATTAAATAACATTTCCCTAATACTTAGGGATTATTGGTCATGAAACCTTTTGCATTAGGGAATACATCAAAATATTACTAAACAACAAGAAACAAAGAATGAATATAAGAGATTAGTTATATCTCAGTTGTTAAAACAGGAAGCTAATTCTATGATGAGTATGTAAAAAAAAACTGATCAATGCTTGACACTTACATTCTTTAAATGAATATGTATAAATCTGTTACCTATCTTAAAATGTATGATTTTATGTACAAAATTGTATCTGTATTTATTTTTTTACAGATTCATTAAATGGAAACTTAGTGCTAAATCAGAATAATCTTGATAGGCCCAATCATTTTGTAGCAGTGAATAAAACTGTCCTTCATTATATAAAATTACCAGATAATGAGATGCAATTTCTAAAGCAAAATGCATCTACAGTTATCACATATTGGTTTATAGATTGTATTTATATAGATCAAACTACAGATCTTTCACTGAATTATACATACCAAGATCTAATGGGCGATCACTATATTGATGCTTTGGTAGTTGCAAATAATATGCCATTGCCACCAATAACAACTACCACAACAACAACAACTACTACTACAACCACTACTACCACTACTACCACTACTACTACTTCGACTACTACTACAACAACACCTAAGCCACCAACTTCAGTAGTCCCAATACAAAGCAGTACCATGAAACCAAGTACTCAAAAACTTGATGAAACAACAACCTCTAGTATAATACCAGTGACACATAACTTAGCAAAGCGTATGATATCAAACAGAACTGTTTTCAAGAAAAAAAATAACTCTACAAAAGACTATATCTGCCATAATTCTAGTATAGTGCCTATTGGTAAAACTTACACATATGGCCATTATCAGGAAACAATAAGTGTAAGAGGTGAGCAACATTTTTTAATTATCTATTTAGTTAATATGATACATATGCATTGATATTGACAATGACAATAGTGAATTGGATGCAACATGTTGTGAGGTATTGTTTTTTAACCAATTAATTATTGCCAATATAACTTTTGTAAAATGTTTCAAACTAAACATGTTCTTTAACAATAACATCTATAAGTGAAATAAGCGCATACTAGGGAGAAGCTTCTACAGTTATCACATAATTTTAAAATAACAGTCATGTCAATGAATTGTTTTTATAGAGATTAGTTTAATTTTTTTCAAAGGATTGGTTTCAATTTTTAGAGCAAATATCAACTGTTAACATCACTGGCCTCAATTGGCTGCAACATGGAGATCTTCTCAACTTGCAAGTGAAGTATACTGGTTCACCTCCGTTTGAATATTGTGCCTTATATAAAGAAGGACAATATAATATCACAGGCAATGAGACTTGCAATTACAAGACAAGAACTGTCACCAATGCCTTCCCTTTGGTCCACTACTTTTCAGATAGTGACCAGCACACAGTTGTTGTTGTTGTAGAAAATGATGTTGGCAAAACAGTTTCAAGAGCTACCATCAATATATACAAAGGTTTGTGGAATACATTTTATTTTCGGTACTTACGTATTAACACCACAGCAGAATAAGTTGCATTTATGCGCCAATAAAGAGCAATCTTGTTGTACGCACGCGCACGCATTTATCTAAGGTTAGGTAAGATTTAGAATTTAAATAGTGTTTTATTTAACATCAAAACCCAACCTAACCTAAACCTACAAATTTGTAACTGTTCAGAAATCAGAAAATCATGTGAATTCTTTGACCATGCAGGTTACAAAAACATATTCTTGTTACTCTTGAGAATTTTGCTTAAAAATAATAAGTAAACAAACTAATATACAAATTCATATACAGATGTACTTGTACCAATAATATTTTATATAAATATAAGTTATAGGCCAACATTGTTGCACAAAAAATAGAACACACTATCGAAACTACTATTGCAAATAATCATGTGGTGAGCAATGAACTTTCCAAAAATTACATCACATTAAAGTCATCCAGAAGAAGAATTCTAATTTAAGATCCAATTTAAATCGGTGTTTAGACCTCTCTGTTTGCTGATTGAGATATTTAAAAATATATGTCAGTTTAGCAGCTTAGGCTATTTGCAAAATAAAAGATTTTTTTATATTTTTGAGGGCCATTTTCACAACACAGGAGAGTTATCTTTGAAATGTTTTCTACACATCTACTCTGGATAAGGATCTTGGTATGTAGTTAATGTCATGATAAATGGCAGAAAATGTTTCCAAGTCTTTCCAAGCTTTTGTTAAATTTTTACTCTATTATGTAGCATTATGTGAGCCAAATCAAAAAAATATAGAATTGTTCCAAATAGCTCAACATCTCACTAAGATATCAACTTTAATTTACTATTGGCCTAAAGAATAAACTATTGAATATTTAACAAGACCTGGAGAAATCTGCGCTATATACAAGCACTTGAATACACAAAGTCGTTTAATAGGGCAATTTGAATAATTGCAAATTAAACAATTTCCATATAATATAACATGATTATCAACCAAAATTTATCATCATTATATTATATCAAGTATCCTGGTGGTTATCGTTTTGAACCCTATTCTAAGTGCAGAGATGAACCCTAAAAATAAAAATGAATAATTAAACTTCTTAAATTGGCTAACTTTGAAAAAAAATTATATTTGCAGCCGTTGTCCACGCCCAGCTATCTGTGATTGTGGTTCCAGTGGCATTCTGCCTAGTTGCAGTCATCTTAGTAGTGTTTGGTATAGCTTATTATCAGCACAGGTCAAGGTCTGTTGGTTTTATGTTTTCTCTTATTTCAATATGATGGAGAGATGGATGAATTGGGGTGTGTATAAGAAATAAGTAAATGTTGTTGTGGCCACTATGGATACATAAATGTTTATGAACTGCTGAGTGAATTTCTGTTCTCTAGAGAAACACACTGCTGATCACTGCTGCTCATTATTGTAATAAAAATTAGTTGCTGATGCGTATCCGACTTTAGAAAGGGTAAACCTTAGACTATTTCACTCTCAGATAAGAAAGCAAAAATATTAGTACTTCTACTTCACTTCGGTCTATTTCATGGCCATGGTAGCCACTATGCTAAACATTGTTCAGAATTTATATGTAATATAGCAATTGTGTCTGTGCTGACTGATTTTTCAGATTTTCTTAGCCGGGCTTAAAATACCTGTACTAATATGTGTACTGTATCCCCCTTTCAGATATACGATAGAGGTCGCTGATTTCGATTTCGGCCAACAGGCCCACTTAGACTACAAGACGTTCGCGGAGCGGCTCAGGGATAGTTTTAGAAATGCATTCGACTTTAGGCAGAGGGGCGACAACGATCCTCTCACTACCGACACTAGGTACGATTCCATGTCATAAGATTGACGAATGAGTGTATAGTAACAAGCAAACATCTTGAAAAATGCATTTGATGGCATAGGAGTGCGCAAACTTTTCCCCTACTGTACCAGTATTTGCTCAAGTTGTTTGCTGTTCACTGTACTGGGCAAAGAGAGAATGAGCATTGGATGAGAATGAGTGGGATTGTTTTTTTTTTTATGATTTTCAATTTACTTTATTAATGTTAATCAACCATGTTATTAGATGTAATCACTTAGTTTTCTTATTTCATTTATGCAATTGTATTATAATGAGTCAAATCAATTGGTTTAATTATTTTCTTTGCTATATTTAAACCATGTCAAAGCTTTAAATAATTCCAATGACTTTTCAGCATTATATTGATACTTTGTTTGTAAAGATTTTATAGAAAAGTATACTATAATTATTCGAGCATTTCATATGGAAATACGATACATGTAAACCTTTAGACTGTTCTTACTTGTACATGTATATGGGGATTAAGAAACCTTAAATGAGATCCATTAAAAACGATTAATGAAAATATATAGTCTTTAACTTAATATTTCACTAACTGTTGGATCAGACATTTAAATGACAATTTTAATCTTGATTTTTTTATATATTATTATTTTAATAAATCTTAAATTTATAATTTAAACGAAAATAAATAAAACACGACCCAATTAGGCTACATTATTTCTGGGATCTTATTTAGCTAATTTACCATTATATGTAAATAAATCATATGATTACCTATAATTTATTCTTTATCTGTTTTAATAAATATATATATATATATATATATATATTATTTATATAATAAACAATATATATTATAATTAGATAAATAACTTTTGGATAAATACTTAAATATATATCCCAAGCATATTTATCTATAAATTGTTCTATATTTATTTTCATATTGCTCTGTATGCAACAGGAAATTGTTTAACTATAAGGCTTGTAACACTTCATGTAAGAGTTTTAAATAGGTTTTTGGTAATTATAAAATTTGTATGGGTTGTTAATGCTATATATATGTTAAATGTTTTCATCGTATATTTTGTGATGTAGTATTGCGTAAGATTATTTTTGCTTGGTCCTCCATTGTGAACAAATTGGATTTTATTTTTAAAACTTATAATAATACATTATGTGTTAAATACAGACCGATTGATAAAAGTTTGCTGGGTGAAATAACTTAGTGAATGCCGTGCCAAAAGTGTAATTATTTATACATACTATATTTAAATTTATGAGTGACATATTCATCCATTTCTCCTGTGAACTTTATGGTTTATTTCATTGGTATAACTAATATTAAAAGATGTATAAAATAACAACTAAAATATAGACAGCCTCTGGCTATTATTGTATAATTTGAAAAATATCCTACCAAACAGCAACATTGAAAGCTGGTTAAGACAGCTGGACAATCGGATTGTATCCCTTCCTTGACTTTATAAGATTATGCTATAATTCATGGGCTGCCCTATAACCCCCGGTAATATTATGTCCATCAGTATTTGATATTTATCGTGAATTGTGTATAGATACAATCTCATTGTGGAATGTGCCAGGCCTGGTAAAATTAGATTGTATCTATCTTTACGCTGTTGATCATATATCGTAAAATCATGCATATTTTTATATGAGTGAATTAATAATTAACACATGGCCAAAGGTTAATGAAGTCCAATTGAACCCTATATAAAAAATATTTCAAGTTTTTGATTATATTGTGGCAAATTTAAGAATCAATTATGAATATATATTGCTTAAATGTTTTCCTTTTGGGCGTATGAGAGTTTGGGAGTTTGCGATAAAAATCTACTATTTTTTTTTTTATAATAAGGTTTAACAGACTGATTGCACACTGAGGTATGCGTTTCATTGTTATTATATTGTGAATGTTTTGTTATATTTTTTAAAAAAAAAAATAATATTTTCAGTGCAGTAATATACCACTTTTCCATGGATGAGAGACATCATTTGAATTAAAAGTGATCAGTCATGTTTTTGTGATATTTTAGTTTTAATCAAATTAGCACTATGTATAATTTATTTAGTCATAGGTTTACGATATAACTGTACTGATTCTTTAGAAGCATGTATTGGATGGAGTTTCTTTGTAAATTGTATTGATTATATTTTATTATAATATTTTTCCTTTATTGCTATCTAATTCTTCTATTCACACTTAATTCAATAAGTGCATCTTGCGATGCTTCTAAAGAACAGAACAAAATGATTGATTGTAGCTATAATAAAGTGTTATCTGGATTTAATTCCCGTGTTTTATTTTTGCCCATATGTAAGGGAGCATAGAGAAGTTTGATTGAATAGTGATATTTCATAATAATATTCATCATCTTCATCAGCCGCAAGATGTCCACTGTTGAACATAGGCCTTAGAACAACCACTTTGCCAATTGCATCCAACGGTTGCCCGCGACTCTTATGTCGACGGTCCACCTAGACCGCCTTCGAAGCCAACGGTACGTCTTCCGGTTATTGGTCGCCAGTCGAATAATTAATATAATTTCATAATATTGTTTTTGTTACACCTGTTTTTTTTTCTTTGTTATTTTTATCCTAAAAAAAATAGTCTATAAATAAACTTTACCACGAAAAACATGCCGTTTCAGAATGTGTGTGCCTGTTTTACGAAAAAATGCAAGGTTTGACGTGTTTTATTATTACTGTTCAGTCCGTTCGGTTTTAATGTATCGAGTTCACAAACTAAATGACACATTTCAGGCAATTTTATATGCACAGTTAAAATAACATGTTTATACCTATTATTTTTATTCGACTTCAAAAAAGGAAAGAAGCTCAAAGAACCATGGTGTCCAGCAAGGTGGGTCAGTACTTCACGTCGGTTCAACGCCTAAACCGTTATAAGGCGCAAATTCGGCCCCTCATGGAGTACTGTGTTCATCTCTGGGCGGGAGTCCCCTATTACCAGCTTCCATTTGACCACATTCAACGTTAGGCAGCTAGGGTTATCGACGATCAAATTTTTTTCGATCGGCTTGACCCTTGGGCTCTGCGTAGAGATGTTGAATCACTCTGCATCTTCTACCGCATTTATCACGGGGAGTGTTCCGAGGAATTAAATGGATTGATACCGGTGACTGAATTTCAGCATTGGACATTGCGCCAAAACCAAAAATTTCATCCACACCACCTCGATGTCCAGCGTTCCACAACAGCGAGATTTTCAAGGCATTTCCTGCCTCGCACAATTACTGTGTGGAACCTGTGGTTACGACCTGGGAAACTTCAAGAAGAGAGCCGTGCTCGTTTCTAAAAGGCCGGCAATGTATTTGTAAGCCCTCTGGTGTTGCAGGTGTCCATGGGCGGTGGTGATCATTTACCGTCAGTTTTCCGTTTGAGGATCGGCCAACTAAAGTAAAGAAAAGCGCAGTCAAGGAAATATATTTGCCTCGTTCCTTGGTTTCGCGACGGTTGTGCTGGAAAATGGAATGACAGTTACTACACAGACAGGTAGGTGTTAACTGTTTTTAGCCTGTAGTCTTGGAAAATGTAGATACGAGAGCAGCGTACTCGAAGCAGGATCCTCCTTTACCACGGCAACGCTGCAGCGCACACGGCGAAACGTACAATTGAATATTTATCTTTGGCAAGTGTCGGAATAATGTGTCATCCGTCAAACACTTCCCAAGAATCAAAGATAAACTTCGAGGTAATTGCTTTATGAGCCCTGAAGACCCGGTGATCGCGTTCGAAAATATAACGGATAGATTTGGTTACTGGAGATAGAATTTTAACGTAAGTATTATGGAAATAATTATCGCTAGCAATCAAATGTCTGAACATGGAATATTGAAACCGGCCGTAAGTGAACTTACTTTTATTTTTAAGACGTTGCAGCGCGGCTACATATTTACAACACGAATTATGTATCATAATCATTGAGATATGCTGTGAACGGCTAATTAGTTCTTTTTTCACACAAATATTGACATCAATAGATAATCTAATCGATAGGCGTTCATCAGCCTTCATAATAAAATCACACAGCCAAAAAAGTTCTTATGGCAGCTATAAAGAGGATACCTACGGAGTATCTATCGCCTGTTTCTTTTCCGTTAGAGGAACCTCATTACGAAACGGTGGTATAATAAAAAAAGGACTAGGGGTAAAGCATTAGGAAAAGTAGAGTAACTATATTAACTTCCAATAAATTACAGAAGTGTAGAATACATTACTTAGGTCGAAAGGTTATTTTCGTAAATCGTTCAAAATAGTAATGTTAATTTAGGTCAATACTTCACGTAAGAAGGAATAATTGTTTCAATAGGACAATTTTATGATTTATGTTAATTCTTACATGTTTTATTGAATTATGGAACAAAAAAAAAAGATATTTTACAAATACCGAAGATATTTGAAGCTTAAAGCGATGGCGTTTTAAAATATAAAAAACCTTACTCATTGTAATTATAAAACGAAATTTTTTCTCGCTTACCATATTTTGCTAATTCTCTCTAGTTATTTTAAATTCTCAAAAGCCGGCTTATGCGCAAAAGTGTTCGTTTTTCGCATTTCATTAAATTTAACTCGCTAAGTGCGGTCTGGATATTTTAAGTAGCTTAAGGGTGAGTTTTTAAACAGTAGGTATAACGAATATGAAAGTCCAGTGTGGTTGTCCAGTGGAAAAATAAATGCAATAGTTCCTGTTTAATAAATTTGTATGTATGACTATGACGTAAAAATTATAAGCTTAACAGTAAAATATTAAATATTAAAGTCAGTTGCCTTCGTGAATATGTTGTTTTTCTCAAACTGAGTTTAATAAAGGAAATTATCCAAGTATAAAGTTTGTTTTGAAAATATAGATGTCCATGCTGCAAGTTAGTAAATGTAGTTCTGGGTTCAATTTAAGAAAACGTAATCCATCACTGTCACTCGCCCTGTTGCTGTATTTGACCAAACATCTAAAGAAGCGTCCTCCCAAATTGTAATTACTTTGCGGTAATAAATTG